GAGCAGGACGAAACTGCGCTTTTTGCCCCGGGTGAGTCTCCTTCGTTTTTACAGGGTGGGCCGGAAAACGACCATTGCTGTGCGTGGCACCCTTGGGACCTTAAAAACTATACATATATACCACTTGAAAGAAAATCGAACCAAAGCTTTTGTTGAGGGTTTTATTTTTCATTGCACATCAGCTCAATTTGCTGCAGCGAGCTATTTTGATTTTTAAAATCGGATCACTATTTTTTTTGGTACACCCTGTATATGAGGATTGTCCCAGTTGGACGCGACCTCTGATATTTTAGGGCAGGTGTGATTCTTAAAAAAAAATAGAAGTATGAAACAGCCCATGATGTTTGAAGGTTCTCATTATGTTTGAATGTAATTTGTAAAACTTTTTTTAAAACCTTTTTTTTAATCTCAAAAAATCCCAACTGGAATTTTGTTGGATGTGTTGAGATTTTTTTTACTATTACAACTATGCTCAAAAAATATCAAGAGGTTTTTTCCAACTGGGACAACCCTCTTACATGTTCTATTCCATTGAAAAATATACAAATTAGGATTATTGCACATTTTAAGAAAATTATAGAAGCATAATGTTGATATTTTTCACACAGCTTCAAGTACTACAATTTAGGTCCCTAAAGGTCATGTTTTGGTGGGGAAGTTGAACAGGAGAAGACTACATATTTTGCATTCTTCAGTATCTTGTCTCACAAGTCCCAGGTGTGCATCAACTTATTGCAATGCTTACATGCTTTAAACTGCAAAGAAAACCAATACTAAAATGTATTGTTTTACTTGTCAATTGTTGAAATGAAGAGAAAATTGTACAGCATTATTCAAACTTTCAATGGAAAATTATCATGTTATGTGTATGCTTTGAAATTGAAGTTTGTAGTTTGAGTTATTTCTGTTATTCTGTATTCTGTATTTTCTGAAAAAATTCAGGAACTAATGAAGAAACATTCATCAAAAGTGCCCTTACAATTTTTTTTAAATCTACAATTTTGCTATAATAATTTTAAAAATGTTTTGGCAGTGCTATATAGCAGCCAAAACTAAAAATGTGCATTTTTTTCTCAGCTTTAACCTACATAAGAAGGACTCATCTCTGGACTCTTTTTCACCCTGAAAGAAATAAAGTGTGAATAAAGTTTGTAGTATGTGTTCATTTTCCCAGATATGAAAATTTAATATATTTTTTATCCACAGGAGGAGCCAAAAGCCCCTTTGTCAATTCAAAGAGCAAAATCTCCCTGAAGAAGCCAGAAGGTGAGTGGTTTGAAAAACTGTGTAAAGGATTCCTTTCATTGGCTTGATTTTTTTTTCTATTTCATTTTCAGAGGGTGCAAATGTTGAAAGAGAGACCTTCCAAGTGCCAGAGTTTAATTTTCCTAATGCAACTGAGATGTTTGGCTTGCCAACCTTCAATCAATTGGCTTCCAAGTTTGGAGCAAGTTCAGCAAGTGTGATTGAAACAGCTTTTCAAGACTATGTAAATGTTGGCATCCATCATTCTGTCAAGTTTGCAAGGGCTGTGTCACCAGAAGGAGCTTTGAGTTATGAGAAAAATTTTGGCAAAAATTTGAGCAAAAGGGATAGAGATGCTGTTCATGCCTTCCTAAAGGCCTTTGTGGAATCCTCTGAGTCTGATGGTGGACAAGCTAAAATCAGAGAGAAAGGTAATTCAGTGTGACCAGAAAATTCTCTCTCATCCCATTCTAGATTTTATTTTCACAAATTTTTCCACAGGTGGAATTTGGAAAGAATGGTTTGGAGACAGCAGCTGAATCACCCAAGAGTCCAAAAATGTCATCTTATTTATTGGAAGTTTGATCAATAATATATGAAGAAACTTGCTTCCTCAAAATATTTCCTTCATTGCTGGTACAGTAATGTGGTGATGGGTTTTTCAAGGAATGGCATTCCTTTCACAGATAGTCAAGAAGCTTCACAATGGACAAAAACATGCTATTAATCTATGTTTCAATTTTTGTAAGTGCATCTCTCCACTCTGCTTATCCCCAAAATCTGACAGAAACCTCAAGTAAGAAATAATTCAAGAGTGCTGGCTGATTCAAGATAAGGACACCAATGATTTTTCTTCAGCATTAGGAAACTCAATCACTGGGGCAGCTCTTGAGGAGCTATTCAGCTCAAATTCATTCTATGAACCAGGAACAATGCTTGGATTGCCTACAAATATGGAGGAAATCTTTGGAACAACTTTTCCTGTTGTTTCAGCAGCGGTTTCTGAACTTGAACATGTCATGCTGACAAGCATAGCAAGATCATCTGGTCTGGTTTTGCAGAAAGTGAATGATGTGCCAGCCTCCATAGAGTCCATAGAGGTTCTCAAGGCCTTTCTGACAACACTGAAGCAAAGGGCAATTGAGGCAAACTCTAGATTCAACAGAAGCAAGTATATTTACTAGGGGTTGTTAGATTGAGGTTGTATACCTCATCCTCATGTCATTCTAATGTTCAATAGCTCATTTCAGAATTTGGTTTCTTTGTTAGGTGACTTGTTTCTTTACTGGCCAATGACTAACCAGACCACTCATGACATGGAAAATGGAATTGGTATGAAAAGTTTTTGCACTTATATATATAAGACCATATGATGAATATCCTGTAGATGTAATATCATTCTTTCAACAGATTTTGACATGGTGACAAAGATGAAGCACCAGGTGTCAGAATATGCTTTGCCCACATTGACCAAACCCAGGATTGCACTCTTATTCTCCATGCCTGAAAAAGATAAACTGATGGCAATAATGTCAGATGAGGCTCTGAATACCCTAATGACAGCTGGTCAAGAAATTGCCAGGACAGCAAGAGGAAAAGTCACTTTGAATGCAGTTCTGGCTTTGAATGATCTTGAGCAGATTCTGCCCCCACCTGTTGATGAGCTCAGCAGCAAGAGCAGGTTCATGGAGAAGAGAGCTTTAACCAGTTTACTGGCAGGTGTCGCTATCGACTTGCCCAATCCACAGCTAGAGAAAACATCGTGAAATCCCGTCTAACGTTTGGAAAATTTTTACACGGTAAAACTGATACGAAAAGAAGAAAATTGAAAGCGAATCAACGGCGCGTGAACCTTTTCATATGACGAGCGAATAGCACTTGGTACCTCCAAATTCATCGCCACCGTTTCTCTGTACGTCACCTTCATACCGTTTACGACAAGTTTTTATCGAAGTATTCGGATGAGTCTTGATGCATGAAGACTCAATCCTGCCAAACTTAGCTACGCATGCCGTGATGTCCAGCCGGATCTGAACAGAAGGGGGAGCACAAAAAAATACACTGCACGCAACGTAGATGATCACATAATTTCTTCAAAAATCGCCCACAGCCTAAATTTAATCAACGGCCCACGTGCTTGCTGACTCTAGAGATTGACGTTCAATCGACCACAACGCTCCCGCATGTTACTCGCACTTACGCCTACAATCGCGGAGGACAACTTCGAACATCGAAAAATGAACCGCCAAGGACTTCCAGGGATTTCCACTCCCATGACCTACTCATACCGAACACTACTCTTGTTTAGCTACCTCTCTATATAAGTTTCACAGAGGTCTGTGCTATTCTTGCTTGTAGATGTCGCACTTATTACCAAAACTGTACTGTACAAAATTTCTATTGCCGGTGTGGCAGGCAGGGTGTACTCTACCCTCGTTTTGGACTCTAGAGTCCACCCTGCCTAGGCAGGGTGTACTCTAGAGTCCACCCTGCCTTTAGGCAGGATGGACTCTAGAGTCCGTCCTGCCTGAACAAATCTTATGGTGGGAGATGCTAAATCGGGCGGGTTGGGTGGACTGACTTGCCTTCTTATATTTTCCCTCATTGTGAAGCTTTATCCAGTTCTTATTTAAGGGAATTCTCATTTGAAATGTTTTCTATTCTCATTTGCAGTTGGCTTTAGGGTTAATTTTGTTTCTTGAGTTTTACACCATGATGTGTTCTGGTGATTTTTCAAAGTCTCTGGAAAAGCTGTGTATAGGTGGACTGGCTTCCTGCTGTTTTCTCTCATTGTGAAACTTCTTTCTGTTGAGAATTGTTACAAGTGATTTTTCTTAACCATGATGTGTTCTGGTGATTTTTCAAAGTCTCTGGAAAAGCTGTGTATAGGTGGACTGGCTTCCTGCTGTTTTCTCTCATTGTGAAACTTCTTTCTGTCGAGAATTGTTACAAGTGATTTTTCTTCGTGGACTGACTCCCTGGTTATTTATTCTTTCATTGTGACACTTCTGATTTTTTCAAGTGTTTCTCATGTTACCTAGATTTGTGGTGATGTGACTTGAGGATTGTGAAGGAAGCGTTCATGGATATTTTCTTTAAATCTTGATACAAGGCGTCCTTAAATTTCGCAAACTTATTGAATCACGCTGAAGAAGAAATACATGTACTACAGAAGCAGTGCTTTGACTAGGAATTATGAAAACTTTGAGAACCTTCTATGAAGTTCTGGGTGGCACTGTGAAGGTGATGAATGCATGTTGGGTGCCAGCGGTAGCTCATTTGTCTAACTCCGAGTTTACGAGTGGTCAATGACGTTAACCTTTTGAATCCTTGAAAAGTTGAATGTGTGGCTCATTTGATCTGCATCATGTGGAGCAGGTTTGCGCAGACTTTTTAGCGCAATATGTAAAACTGTTGGAGATAGCTTTTCTACCCTTACATGTGATTTGCTTGGTTGCAGGAAATTTTTTCTGAAAAGTGTCCATTTGAAAAGAAAGACTTGGTTGAGTCGAAGATTGCCTAAGTCATGTCCGTTCTTGGGATCGATTTTGGCACCGATTGCTCATGCTGGCGGCATTGAAACCATTGCAAACGACTAGTCTTCGTAACACCCCGTGAGTTTTCTTTCTTTTTTTTAATGGGAAGAGAGGGACAGTGTTTACAGTATTTTCAAATGTGTTTGAAGTGAACTTGACGTCTGATTGTGGCCTAATGCCCTTTGGATCCTTGTTTCCAGGTACCTTGAAAATTTCAGAATGACCTTTGAGAAAATACTTGTGGAATTGACTATCGATGGTCAGAACTGGAGGTTTTTTTACTTGCCCGCTTTAAATGACAAACGCTATGGTGAGACTGATTTGTATATTCTTTGTGCATGATCTTGAAAAATTCAAAGATTTTATTTTGGCAGAGAAACTACCTCTTTCAATCCGCATGTTGCTTGAATCAGCGATTTGCAATTTGGATGGCTTTCAAGTTAAGGAGAAGGATGTACAGAATATTCTTGACTGGGAAAAGTTGCATACTGACCCCGATGGAGTTGAGATCCCTTTCAGACCAGCAAGGGTAATTCTTCAGGTTCGTTTTCATGAACATACGTTTTCGTTTCTTTTTTTGATTCTTTATCTTGATTGTGGCAGGATTTGACGTTCCAGCCGTGGTTGATTTTGCGGCAATGAGAGATGCGGTTGCTGGTCTGGGAGGGGATCCCACAAAGATCAATCCTTGTTGTCCTATGGACCTCGTGATTGATCATTCGATTCAAGTGGACTTCGCGAGAGCGTGTGTAGCCCCGTGCGCCCATAAAAATATTTGAAAAACTTGCATGATTTTCTACCAGACATTTTCTTTCAATGCTGCTAATTGCATGTGTGTAATAGATGAATGTAAAGTACTTGGCACTTGATGGAAATACCGCGAAATCTAGTTATCTAACGCAGATTTGTCACATTTTTCTCTGCCTCATTAATAAGGTGGCGTAAACCGATCTTTTCATTGCTGCAATTCAAAAATACTCTATGAAAAATTGAATCAAAAATAGTCTAGAGTATGTGTAGTTGGTGATACGATGAACCTTTTGAAATTTGGCTTGAGAAACTTCAACCATTGCCTTTTCAGCCCGGATTCCTTATCAAAAAATGAAGAAATCGAATACAGGAAGAACAAGGTGAGATTCACATTCTTGAAGGTGATATTTCGCACTCTCAGAAATTTGGCTTGAGAAACTTCAACCATTGCCTTTTCAGCCCGGATTCCTTATCGAAAAATGAAGAAATCGAATACAGGAAGAACAAGGAGAGATTCACATTCTTGAAGGTGATATTTCGCACTCTCATATGAATTTTAACAAAAAGATCACTACCATTTATCGGTTGTAAATTATTGTTCACATTCTCTTGAAATATATTCCGTTCTAGTGGGGCGCAAAAGCGTTGAAGAATCTGACAATTGTTCTTCCTGGGTCTGGAATTGTTCATCAAGCAAACCTTGAGTTTTTGGCACGCGTTGTGTTTGATAACGAAGAAGATTGTCTTTTGTACTGCAACTCGCTGGTCGGGACAGACTCTCATACCACCATGATCAACGGACTTGGAGTCCTTGGTTGGGGAGTTGGTGGTAAGTACCTTGCCTACCGTATTTATTCGAATACTGTGTACTCAATAGCTGAAAGAAATGACATTTCTTGCGCTCAAATAATAAAAAATAAAAGCACTTTGTTATGCAAATGTAATGCGCCCTTCCGCATAACATTTTTCACAATCAGATTAGTTGTTGGATCGACTATTTGTTCATCCAATTTCCTGCCATGGGACCCATTTCGAACTCAGGTGGTTCCCCCCGAAATACCAATGCTGCGGAAATTATTCAGAACAACTCAAATTCAATATTCAATTGAGTCTTTGATGCTTGACCCTTGACTCTCATCTCCATTTAGTTTTAAATATTAAGATGAAACCTGGCTTTGAACTTTCCTTGTTTTACTTGAATACTTCTGACTTAATTACCCTTATGAATCTTTAAACTTTTCTTCGGCAATAAGAAAAGTGGTTGAACATGTGACACGCAAATGGCGAAAATAGGGACTATCCGAAAGGGTCTTGCTTCTATTCTGGGTTGGATAATTTTACATTGAGTGACACTTCTGATTTTTTCAAGTGTTTCTCATGTTACCTAGATTTGTGGTGATGTGACTTGAGGATTGTGAAGGAAGCGTTCATGGATATTTTCTTTAAATCTTGATACAAGGCGTCCTTAAATTTCGCGAACTTATTGAATCACGCTGAAGAAGAAATACATGTACTACAGAAGCAGTGCTTTGACTAGGAATTACGAAAACTTTGAGAACCTTCTATGGAGTTTTGGGTGGCACTGTGAAGGTGATGAATGCATGTTGGGTGCCAGTGGTAGCTCATTTGTCTAACTCCGAGTTTACGAGTGGTGAACGACGTTAACCTTTCGAATCCTTCAAAAGTTGAATGTGTGGCTCATCTGATCTGCATCATGTGGAGCAGGTTTGTGCAGACTTGTTAGCGCAATATGTAAAACCGTTGGAGATAGCTTTTCTACCCTTACATGTGATTTGCTTGGTTGCAGGAAATTTTTTCTGAAAAGTGTCCATTTGAAAAGAAAGACTTGGTCGAGTCGAAGATTGCCTAAGTCATGTCCGTTCTTGGGATCGATTTTGGCACCGATTGCTCATGCTGGCGGCATTGAAACCATTGCAAACGACTAGTCTTTGTAACACCCCGTGAGTTTTCTTTCTTTTTTAGTCGAAGATTGCCTAAGTCATGTCCGTTCTTGGGATCGATTTTGGCACCGATTGCTCATGCTGGCAGCATTGAAACCATTGCAAACGACTAGTCTTCGTAACACCCCGTGAGTTTTCTTTCTTTTTTTAATGGGAAGAGAGGGACAGTGTTTACAGTATTTTCAAATGTGTTTGAAGTGAACTTGACGTCTGATTGTGGCCTAATGCCCTTTGGATCCTTGTTTCCAGGTACCTTGAAAATTTCAGAATGACCTTCGAGAAAATACTTGCGGAATTGACTATCGATGGTCAGAACTGGAGGTTTTTTTACTTGCCCGCTTTAAATGATGAACGCTATGGTGAGACTGATTTGTATATTCTTTGTGCGTGATCTTGAAAAATTCAAAGATTTTATTTTGGCAGAGAAACTACCTCTTTCAATCCGCATGTTGCTTGAATCAGCGATTTGCACTTTGGATGGCTTTCAAGTTAAGGAGAAGGATGTACAGAATATTCTTGACTGGGAGAAGTTGCATACTGACCCCGATGGAGTTGAGATCCCTTTCAGACCAGCAAGGGTAATTCTTCAGGTTCGTTTTCATGAACATACGTTTTTGTTTCTTTTTTTGATTCTTTATCTTGATTGTGGCAGGATTTGACATTCCAGCCGTGGTTGATTTTGCGGCGATGAGAGATGCGGTTGCTGGTCTGGGAGGGGATCCCGATCAATCCTTGTTGTCCTGTGGACCTTGTGATTGATCATTCAATTCAAGTGGACTTTGCGAGAGCGTGTGTAGCCCTGTGCGCCCATGAAAATATTTGAAAAACTTGCATGATTTTCTACCAGACATTTTCTTTCAATGCTGCTAATTGCATGTGCGTAATAGATGAATGTAAAGTACTTGGCACTTGATGGAAATACTGCAAAATCTAGTTATCTAACGCAGATTTGTCACATTTTTCTCTGCCTCATTAATAAGGTGGCGTAAACCAATCTTTTCATAGCTGCAATTCAAAAATACTCTATGAAAAATTGAATTGAAAATAGTCTAGAGTACGTGTAGTTGGCGATACGATGAACCTTTTGAAATTTGGCTTGAGAAACTTCAACCATTGCCTTTTCAGCCCAGATTCCTTATCGAAAAATGAAGAAATCGAATACAGGAAGAACAAGGAGAGATTCACATTCTTGAAGGTGATATTTCGCACTCTCATATGAATTTTAACATAAAGATCACTACCGTTTATTGGTTGTAAATTATTGTTCACATTCTCTTGAAATATATTCCGTTCTAGTGGGGCGCAAAAGCGTTGAAGAATCTGACGATTGTTCTTTCTGGGTCTGGAATTCTTCATCAAGCAAACCTTGAGTTTTTGGCACGCGTTGTTTTTGATAATGAAGAAGATTGTCTTTTGTACTGCAACTTGCTGGTCGGGACAGACTCTCATACCACCATGATCAACGGACTTGGAGTCCTTGGTTGGGGAGTTGGTGGTAAGTACCTTGCCTATCATATTTATTCGAATACTGTGTACTCAATAGCTGAAAGAAATGACATTTCTTGCGCTCAAAAACAAAAAATAAAAGCATTTTGTTATGCAAATGTAAATTTGTAAGCCAGAAACGTATGTGAATAACCGGCAATTTTCAAGCAGCAAAGGTTTCATTCATTTCAAGTGACAAAAACGTGCTGTGTATTTATCTCCAATCCATTTAATTAACGTTGTGAAGTTTTCCTGACCATGGGAAATTTTAATTTTAAATTGTAAGTGTAGTTACATTCACTGGCAGTCACAATTCAAGTTAATCTTGAATTAGGTTCCTCTTCTGTACGTGAAAGGATTTCTACCATAGNTTACATTCACTGGCAGTCACAATTCAAGTTAATCTTGAATTAGGTTCCTCTTCTGTACGTGAAAGGATTTCTACCATAGGTTTGAATGCCGAGAATGTTCCTGGTGGAATTTTTGTGCTAGTTAGGACTGATGGTACGTCATAACATTAAAAATCTTCAAAATTGCAAGTCCATGCGGTCCTCAGATATCCTTCTGACGTCGAAAATTTGAAATGTAAAATAGGGGTTTGACTATTTTCCTGGAGAAATTGAAATTGCTGAAGATTGTGTCATTAAATGTTCGTCTCCCATTTTATTTCAGCGACTTCTTTGTCAGAAGGAGGAACGCGCTCCATCTACATTGAAAGCTCTGTCAAATTTGATACGCACTGGAATTTTTTGTGGGGTTAATTTAACAACGAAAAATGCGTGCAGTGTTAAAAAAAAATTGTGTCTAATTCTGCATGCCTTTGTCTTCCAAGGGCATGAAAAAACCACATTAACTTTTTAACAGTGAATGGCTCAAATCATTTGTTGCAGTTACTTGTTCCTTCGATCCAAACAAGAGCCTGGCAGCGAGTTTGATGACCTGAAAGGCGGCGCAGCTTTTGGAAGCATCCTGACAGGCGTTCTCAAAGTCGGAATGGAGATGGAAGTCTGACCTGGGATAGTTTCGAAAGACTCCAAAGTTCGACTGCTGTGTCATCCGATTTGTTCTTGCGTCGTTTCCTTGCTGGCTCAGCAAAACGAGCTGGCCTACGCGGTGGCCTGATGGGTGTATAGGAACCAAGATTGACCCCACCATGTGCGGAGCAGACAAACTTGTGGGTCAGATGCTGGGGGCTGTCGGAGCTCTTCCGGAGATTTACACCTAGTTGGAGTTTTCTTACCATCTAGTTGGAGTTTTCTTAGTTTTGCGTTCGAACCGAAGGAGACAAGAAAGCTGCCAAGGTAAATTTTACCCGCGATCAATGCGGGGAAAATTTATTTGATACGCACTTACTCCAAGTCCAACGCATTTTTTATTTTATTTTTTTAGACTGAGATAAAAACTTGGGATGGTATGATAGTTGATTGCCTGTCAGAATTGTGAGGGGTTGGGTTTGACAAGGATACAAATGTTAGTGAATTGTCAATAAAAAATTAATAAAAAACCTTGCATTGAAGAGAGGGCAGTTTCGAAGTGTCTCCTTAAAAAATTCGGCGACTCTTGCTAATTGAATTATGGAGTTCCGCTGCTGTGGTTTGGGGTTGCGGACTGCTGTGGCACATTTCAGAAAGTCTTCTGCATGAGGGAACTTCGAATGAATGAAGGGTGATAAAACCTTCAGTCTCAATGAATGTTTTCCAAACAAACACTTCAAGAAATGGGTATCTACTGTACAGAAAGGAAAGCTTCCTGTTTTCAGCAATAAAATCATTTCTTTCTACAGTTACAGACTTGCTTTGAAACACACTTGAAGACAATCTTTGGACAATACATGGACTGCAAAGGACACTTTGTGGATGAGGAGTATCTATCCTTTCAATTATGGCATATTGGTGTTTACCCGCAGCGTTCAAAACTGGAGAATGGGAGCATATTTGCAACAAGGGAATCATTTTAAAGTGTGTCAAAAACTGTTGTTGATGAATAGTGTTGGGGGTGGGGGTGGTTGCTTGTGTGTGAACATGAAATTTTTTCCTGCAATTTTATACAGTTGTACAACTGTTCTGAGCTTGAATTGAATTACATGCAAATACTTTTTTGAATTATGCATTCTTATTTCATCTTAATTCTTGTTGAGAATTAACAACAATGAACACTGATAACTTCTGAGAAAGACAGGAAAACCTGAAGTGAAGGCAAAATGAAAGAAAATTATAAACATACTGCACATGCATACATACATAACCAAGAAAAAGATCATCATTGAAGATGAGTCCTTATCTGGTTCAGAATTTACTGACACACTCTGTAAGGAATTGTCAAATATTCCATTTCTTGCTTCAGCCATTGTTTCCATCTTTGAATTCATTTTGATCAGGAGTTGCAGCATCATCTTGCTCCTGGAACCATTCATCCTGCTTCTGGAAACATTCTTGATCATCACACTCCAATGCTGTTCCAAATCAAGTGCTTATCTTGTTGGGGTTGCTGTCCATGTTCTGTGAAAATTATAACAGTAATTATTATTAATAATGGAATGTCCAAATCAGGTTTTCATGTTGTTATGAATGCCCAAGTCAGGTGTTTTGAATTTCAAAAAGTACAAGACATTTGGCATTGATGTTTTTAAAAACTCCCAAGTTTGGTATTCTGCAATCAACAACTCTCTGCACAACTTGGAAATGCTAGGAAAAATGAACTCTCCCAACCAGCTAAAGACATTTCGCATTGATGTTTTTAAAAACTCCCAAGTTTGGTATTCTGCAATCAACAACTCTCTGCACAACTTGGAAATGCTAGGAAAAATTAACTCTCCCAACCAGCTTGGCTTATTAAAAAAAACACATCAGGCACAAAATGAACACAATAGTCAGTCTTTCATGTTTTCATGAATGCCCAAGTCCAAGAAATTTGGCATTGATGTTTTTAAAAACTCCCAAGTTTGGCATTCTTCTGCAAGCAACAACCTTGCACAACTTGGAAATGCTAGGAAAAATTATTTCCCACAACTAGCATGGCTTATGTAAAAAAAAGCACATTAGGCACAAATAATGTGTTTTCTATTTTTTGATGTAAGATCTATTGGTTACATAATGCATCCAAAAATTTACCAAACGATGTACAGAGTTTCTTTTCTTTGTTTTGAAAAAGATGAAAAATTGACTAAATTACAACAAAAAACATGAAAGCATTTTTCAAAATCGGCCAGAAATTGCGGGGAAAAAAAGATTCCAATTTTTTAATCCTAGAAAAATTTGTGTTTTAATGCTGTGTTTAAAAATTTTAAAAACTTTCTTAATCAGACTTTTGACATGTGCCACAATTTCCAAATGTGCTGTGGCATTCCCTCCATACAAACCTTATTCCTGCACATGGGGACCAACGGTCACTGGGAGGAAATGAGGACCCAGGAAGGGATCACGAGATTTGAATCTCCTGCCAGCCGTTTCAGCCGTTAGTCGTCAGTTTAAATTATGACTTCGCCGGGTGTCATGCTTACTTCTTGGTGTGAAAGTGATTCAAATTGCATTTGTTTCTTGGTGATTCTATTTCAAGCAGTGTTTCAATTTCTGTAGGATTTGATTCTTTCATGCAGGCAGTGTGTTTCATTTCCTCCCCTTTATTTATTTTTTTTAATCAGTGGATTTTTTTTCTTTTCTTGGAGTGCTAAATATTTCTGTCTCTAGGCCATTTAGGGCTTTCTTTCTCTGCCTCTTAATATTGTGTGTTCCCTGACCCTGGGCTTTTCCTGAGTAAGGTGTGGTTGGCTCCCAGCATGTCAAACATTTCTTATGCCACAAACCTGGCTTTTGCTTTACTCTTATTTTCTTCCCTGAAACACTTTTTCTTTGTGTGACGCACTTTCATGCCAATTGTGTTAAGTGTATACTTTCAATAATTCCCTACTACAGATCTGTCAAATTTTTCTATTCCCATGACGTTTCCATGCTGTTTTCTTCTAGGGTGTATTTAATTATGTGATGTGAAAAAAAAATCAGACCAGCCAAGTCATAGGCCATGCATTGAGCAGTAAAACAGTGAAAATCAATTTAATTTTTTTCTAAAGGCCTTGAAATCCATGAATGCCTTCTGTGAATTCCTGTGTGAACTTTTGTGGTGTTTTTTTTGTGCTATAAAAGCCTGCACATTCATTTTAAACTCCACAGAGCTGCAAAAACTGTGCAAACCTTACTTTGAAACCTATCCTTGAGTGTTTTTGAACCATCAAAAAAATCATCATTGAAGTTGCTTCAACTTTGCCGGGCCTTCTTTTGGACGTCCTGTGAGTATTTTCCTATTCCCTGTCTTCATACAAACATTTTAAATAATTTATGGGGCATCTAAAATTTTAAAAATGAATTTTCAGTTCTAATTTTTTTCATAAACTAATCCACCTATCAAAAGTACTCTAAACATTGTGAATTAACATGATTCTTGGTAAATATAATTTAAATACAGTGTGTTGTATAGTTTAACAGGATCTTGCACACATATGCTTTAGGGTGCACCTTAATCATTCAAATAATTGCTTCATTATCTGAGTGAATGCAACCATAGGCATTCCAGACTTGCTGGCACTGCAAGTCTGTTACAGTTACATTCTTGCAATCAATGTCTTATCTTTCTGTGCATTTCCTCCAAAAATGAAGTTTATTGTTGCCATATAGGCAATGCTTCATGCATTAATTTAATTATGTTCTTCAGGAATTCAGGAACAAGAACCAACAAGTGGTTTTAATAATCAAAAATAAAATGCCCAGCTGGTATGTGGCTGGGTCCTCTCTGAAGAGACCCTTGCCTAAGCTGGAATTTTTTGGGTAAGCCTAGGGAAGGGCAAACACAAGATCTGCAATTTGAATAAACTGGTACAGCAAACATTAACAAGCACAGTAATCACATCAAAATTGATTATATTTTACATAGCAACAGATCATTCAGTTGTTTTGTATGCAATATTCTTCTTTATCACCTACTGTGATTAGACTTGGTCAACCAGTCTGGTCACAATAACCCTTCAAGTGTGCTAAATGATGCACTTTAGCAGCTGGCATTTCACAATGCTGAAAGTTGTGGCTGCCAATGCCAGGCCATAATTATGCTAAGATAGCCCATTTCTGAAAAAAAAATTGAGTTTGAAGTGTCCTGAAGTAAGTGAAGTTCTTTGTACCATTCAAAATACTGGAAAATTTGGACACACTACATGGACTGCTGGAGCTGGAGAGTTTCAATCTTCAAGTTTTATCCTGGGCATTTGATTGTTGAGTTAATTTTTGCATGTACCACAAAAGTCAACAGGATTCAGTGTGTGCAAAAAACATGCTGATGGAATCTTGAAATTTCAATTTTTGAATCTGGAATTTCAATATCTTGGTGAATTTAAAAAAAAGTCTCATGTATTTTTTCAATCTTGAGTAATGAATGATCTTTTCTACTGCAATGAGAGATATATTTTGATGATTCACGTCTTCCTTTTTTATTTCCACCTAGGATGTCCATAGATTCATTTTTGTGCTGATTACTGCTGCATAAGTTTGAAAACATTTTCAGTTGTGAAAATGAAATATTTCATTTACTTTTCCAGAAATCTGAACACTCAGAACATGGATCTGTTAGAGCAACTCCACCATGAAAGGAATGAGTTGCAGGTTGCATCTCAAACCCGCATGCTGACAGATATGGAAAAAAGGCGACTACAAGAAGTCAGAACTCTCCTCCGTCGAGAATCTTCCAGGCAACGATCGGCAAATCGCCGGGCAGCCATGACAGACAGTCAGAGAGAGCAAGCTCGAGAACGTAGCAGAAATTCTGTGGCAATCCGGCGAGCCAATATGACTGCTGCACAAAGAGCACAAGCTCAGGAGCAAGCAAGGCTTCGTTCAGCAAACAGGCGAGCAAGTATGACTGCTGCACAAAGAGCACAAGCACAAGAGCAAGCAAGGGTTCATTCAACAAACAGGCAAGCAAATATGACTGCTGGACAAAGAGAACAAGCTCAGGAGCAAGCAAGGCTTCATTCAGCAAACAGGCGAGCAAATATGACGGATGAAAGACGAGTGGAGGTGCAAGAACGTGACAGGCAATATTCAGCAAGTCATCGAGCCAATTTGACAGATACTCAACAAGTGGAGGCTCGCGAAGATTCCAGGATGCGTCCTGCACACAGACGGGAGTCTATGACTCAAGAAGAACGGGAACGTGTTCAGCAGCGTGACAGATGTCATTCTTCCAATAGACAAGCTGCCTTGACAAGCAGCAGGACTGCTTGCTT